TTTTTAATATTTGCTATAAATACTTTCATTCTCTCTTTTTTTTCTTTCTTAAAAAAAAAAAGAAAAAACTTAAAAAAAATTTTTAAAATATATTTACCCTAAACATGACTGAAACAACTATTCTTGTTAGATTTAGCACTAAATTAGATGGGTTTCAAGTATCCACAACTACGTTTAATGTACCTAGTGATTCCAATAGACTTGCACTTTCGAGATTGATTAATCATTTATTACAATTACCTAAAGTCGTTCCATTTGATTTTATTGTTGGTGGGGAATTTCTGCGTACAACTCTTCAAGAACATCTTAAAGAAAAAAATATTCCTATTGAATCTACTGTAGATATAGAATATACTGTTGCTCTTCCAGCACCTCAACCAGAATGGTACAACCAACAAGAGAATTGGGTTACTTCTCTTTCATATTGTTCCTCTTTTTTATTTGCTGGCATTGCTAATCAAAGTATTTCTGCTAATAACGAATCAGGAATTGTTTGTTCTACAGATGCATTGTTATCTGATGGTACAACAAAACGACCAGTAAAAACGATTGATGCGTTTGATAATAATGGTAAAATTGAAGTTGCATGTGGTGGAAAATCAAATAACATTCATATATTTTCATTTGAAAATAATACATTCATTCATAGTTCTGTTTTAACAGGTCATAATGGATCAATTGAAAGTCTTTGTTATTCACCAAATGGTACACATCTTGTTAGTGGTGGTTGGGATAAAAAAGTAAATGTTTGGGATTTAAATTCTGGTTCAACTCTTCAAACAACAGAAAAACGTTCAAGATCAAATATTAAAACAATTTCAGAATTTACATCACTCGATGGTCATCTTCAAGCTGTTACACATTGTATTTGGCCAGTAGAAAAACAAATACTTTCATCTTCTCTTGATGGAACTATTGCTATTTGGGATATTCAAAACACTGCCCTTGCTTCTGCTTATAAAACATCAAAAGTAGCTACTGCTCTTGATTATTCTACTGTTAATTCTCTTATTGCAACAGGACATAATGATTCTATTATTCGACTTGCTGATCCTCGTGAATCTCAAATAACAATGAAATTATTAAAAAGTCATAAAAATTTAGTTACTTGTGTTGCATGGCATCCTCAAAGTGCTTATTTGTTAGCATCTGCAGGATATGATAATTCTATTAAAATTTGGGATATTAGATCTATTACACCTTTATGTACTATTCCTTTCAGTACAAAAATGACGGCTGTATGTTGGAATGAAACTGGAGATATTTTCTATTCTGCTGGGGCAAATGGTTTTATGAAAGCACATAAATTTACTCATACTAATTGATTGATTTTTTTCTTTTCTGTTAAAATAAACACAACTCAAATCACAAAAATATTCAAAAACAAAATAACTTTATGATAAAAGAAGTTCAACCAAAAACCTCAAAGACTTAAAAATATAAAACAGAAGAATGTGTGAACAATATGTCAGACATTGTATCTTACCTGAAATTGGGGAGGTTGGTCAAAAGAAATTACTTGGTAGTACTGTTGGAATATTAGGTGCTGGAGGTCTTGGAAGTCCAGTTATTCAATACCTTGCTGCTTTTGGAATTGGAAAGTTAGTTATTGTTGATAATGACATTGTTGAAGAGGTCAATTTAAATCGACAAATTATTCATAATCATCAGCGCATTGGGAAGTATAAAGCTGAGAGTGCTGCAGAGAGTGTGAAGTTGTTAAACCCTTCTATCGTTGTTGAACCACATATTATTCGTTTAGATGAACAAAATGGAGTAGAAATTTTTAAAGGATGCAATATTCTTGTTGATTGTAGTGATAATCATCAAGCTCGTTATGCCATTTCTGCTGTTGGAGTAAAACTTGGTATTCCTATTGTTACAGGGTCTGTTGTAAGATGGGAAGGGCACGTCACAGTTTTAAATTATCAAAATGGACCTTGTTATAAATGTTTATATCCAGTTATGCCATCTACAACATTAAATGCTACAGCTAAAACTGTAGGAGTTGTTGGAACAATTTGTGGGGTTATTGGTTCAATTGAAGCCATGGAAACAGTTAAAGTATTGTTAGGAAAAGGAGAGATATTATCAAATAAAATGTTAATGTTTAATGGAATGACTATGATGCATAAAGTAATAGCCGTTTGTTATACTTTTTTAATTTCTTTACTAATTGACATTAAATATTAAAAAATGAATTAGACAAAACATAAGAACATAAATTGTCCAGTTTGTGGTTCAGCTGAAAAATCAATGAATTAGATGAAATCCCAATTCTCATCATCACTATCCTCTTTCTTCTCATTAGTGATTGGTTCTTGTTGTTTCTTTGGCGTTATTGGTTTATTTTCTTCTTTTTTCTCCATAACAATTTGGTCCACTTTAACACCATCAAAGACAGGTTTTTCCTCATTTAAGTTAACTTCTTTTGCCTCAATCAAGTCTTGTTCAATACTTTTTTCTACACCAATATGAGGCCATTCTTTTAATGATGACAAATTCATTTTTATTGCACTTCCTGGAATTGGTTTTCGTTCTTTTGTTGCAAACTCTTTTAATTTCTCAGATATTTCAACTTCACCACCTATCCTTTCTGCAATTTCATCAAATCCTCTAGTTTTTGCTGCAATGTAACCCAATTTACCATTTGCAATAAAACATTCTTTCACCATAGTTTTTTGGTCATTAGAAAGAAGAGACAATATCAACTTTTGAGAATTAGAAGCCTCAAGTTTATTTAGTTTGACCATAGATTGTATATTACCACAATAAGCAGAAAGATATGATACTCTACTATAATCACCAAGTTGAACTAATGAAAATTCAGCTACTTTAAAATGTCCAGTACTAATAGCTTTTTGTGATAATTGTCTCCAATATTGTGGTAAATTTAATTGTTTTGCAGCTTCAAGTGCTGCCTTAAAATTACCACATTGTAAAGCAATAGCAAATTTAGCATGAACATCTCTTACAAATAATAATGCTAATTCAGCAAATTTATATTTCATTAAAAATGAAATAATTGAATCACCAATAAATACAGTATTTGTTAAATGTTTATGAATAGCAGCTAAATCTCCCCTTAGTACTGCTGCTTTAAAATCAACATCAGCAAGATCAACAACTTTCGTTGCAATGTCTCCATTTATATCAATTGTTAATAATCCTTTAGCACTAGCTGTTGCTGCAATAAGATATAATACTTCGTTTCCTGTTCCTTGAACAATTCCAACTTCTCCAGTTGGCAATAAATATTTGATATGTGCATTTGTAGTATATAATATTACTCCTCTAGTAGCAATAACAACAGACTTAATATGTGTTGTTTCAGTATATCTAGTTACAATTTCATACCCTTCTTTGGAATCTTTTAATAAGAGAATGGTTTGACTTCCAAATAAAACAAGCGTTTCTTTTGTTGCAACAGTTCTCTTTAGTCCATTTGCATCAACCTTAAATAAAATATTTCCTTCAACAGTTATAATTTGTGCAAAGTCATCTCCAAATAAACAAAAGGTATTTGGTCTATTAACTGCAGATATTCTTGTTCCACTTCGTTCTAATTGAATTTTACCAACAACTTGTGATTTACCAACATCTATCTTTTGAACAGTATTTGAACGTGCTTCATATGAAAGATAGAATGACCCTCCAATATAACATAAAGAAGTTCCTTGGAGATTTGATCTATGAAAAGCAGCACAAATTGCTTCATGACTTTCACCGTTGGAAGCTAAAATCATTTCTTTTGCTTGTGGAATAGCAACTATTGATTGGACATGGTTAAGTGAATACATTAATTTTATTTCATTTGTTGACATGTCAAATTTATTAATTGATGACGCTGTTTGATAATAAACTGATTTACCAGTGACAAAGTAAGCAGGACGTTCACTTTCCAACTTAAACACCTTTAGTCCAGTATCACAACCAATAGCAAAAAGGTTTTCCAATGGATGTTTTTCAATACACCAAATCCTACCATTTGTTCTAAAACTTCTAATTAGCTTTTGTGTTTTAATATCAAAAACATTTACACATTTGTCTTCACTTACAGAAATAAGATAATCTCCCATTACTGTACATGCTGTAACATTATGTGTATGACCTCTAAATACACCTTCACTCCAACAACTTGAGTCATTATATCTCCACATTTTTATTGTTTTATCATCTCCACAAGTAAAAATAAGTTGAAGGGTTGGATGAAAAATTGCATTATTAACAGCAAATTGTTCCGGTGTAATATTAAATTTAACAGAACCAGCAAGATCAACTGCACCATCTCCTCTTGGTTCATTTTCATATAAATCTTTAATATCCCAAACTCGAACTGTACTATCATATGATGATGAAATAACAAATGGTATTTCAGGTCTAGGATGGAAATGAGCTGAAAGAACATAATGGTCATGACCAGTTAATATAGCTATACATTTGAATGACAAATAGTTCCATATTCTAATAGTTCTGTCATCACTACAACTCAATATCCATGGTTTTGTTGGGTGAAAATATGTTGAGCGAATGTAATCACTATGTCCTTTGAATTCTCCAACACATGCATTATCCGAATGACTATCTCTATAATTCCACATTCTAATAACACAATCATCTCCTCCTGATACAACTAATGGTCTATTTGGATGGAAACATAATCCTCTTACAGCTCCATTGTGCGCATGAGGATATGTGTGTAGTAATATTTTTGTACGATAATCCCAAATTTGAATATCTCCATTATGTAATGAACACATTAATAAAGTTGCTGTTGGGTGGAACACAGCAGTTTTAACACGTTCACTTTGATTTTCTAAATAGTACTTGAGTTGTGTTCTCATAGATCTAATAATTTTCATCTTTTTTCTTTTTTTTTTCTTCCTTTTATTAAACTATATTTTAATTATTAATAAATTAAAAAATATTATTTTGTTATTCACTAACTCTCCGTTCAACAATAAAAACAAAAAGGAAGAATAAGAAGGTGATGAATTTAGTTATTCATTTTCTTGTGCTACTATTACACTCGTTTTCTCTATTATATCAAGTAGTCTATCAAAATTAATTGAAAGGTAATTAAACAATTTTAATAATCCAACAATAGCTTTGTTCCATTGTTCTATTTTTGTTCTATCAAAGATAAGTAAATAACTTTTATTTAATTTTGTATCAAATACGCACATTGTTGTTGGTTTAATTTCGTAATGATATTTTTCTTTTAATTTTGGCCATATATCTGAACACTTTTCATACAAGTCACTAAAATAATAAATCAAATGCTTAAATCCTTCTTTGAATGATTCATCAGCTTCTGAATAAAATGATTGATTTTGAATGAATAAATTATAAACATTTTTCTTTTGACCTATCTGTACAGATATTTGAGAATGATCATCAAATGGAATTGGAATTGTTGAATGTTTAGGAATAATTTTCTTTCCCATTAAATAAATACCTAATACTAATTTTCCCATTGCAATATTAAACTCATTAACTTTTTCAATAGAATATTTAAAAGGAATACCACATAGTGTCACTGAACCATCACTAAATGACTCAACTTCAAACAATGAACCAAAAATACTTCTCTTTTCAATTGTTTGTAATTCGTCTTTTAATAATGCTATTGTATTACTTAATTCTAATTGTTCATCTGTTGATTGTTGAAGGTCTTTCAATAATTTATTGTTGATTGTCCAGTACTGTTTTTCTATACTTTCTGTACATTTAATATCGAATTTATCAATTTCTTTAAGTAATTCGTTGAGTTGTTCAAAAGATTGTTCTTTTAATTCTCTTAACCGTTTTACTGACTCTTCATTTTCTTTTGTATTTTCATATCCTTGAAGAATTACATCAATATTATCAATATCTTCTTTTATATTTTCTATTTCTTCTGTTAGTTCATTCCATTTTGTTGTATGGTATCGTTCAAAGTCTTCATAATCTTCCATTTTATGTAACACAATTTGTAAACACTCATCACATACAAATGCCTTTGACTTAAATCCTGCTTCTGCAATTAATGAACAATTTTCATCTCTTTGTCCACTTTGTATAACATCATTCATTGTTTTAGATAAATCAATATGAGAATAAAGCATTTGTTTACACCGTTGACATATAAGTAATGAATTATGTTGCATTTATTTCTAATAACAAGAGTATAACTTATAAGTTCCTTTTTCTTCCAATAAAAACTTTTTTATAACAGACAAATAATATTTTCCTAAAAGAGATAACCATAAAGAATTTACTTGATTTTTTTTAAATTAAATGCAATAAATAAAGAAAACTACTTCTTATTATTTAACTGAATCTGTTATTAGTTTTGTTTAGGTTATTAATAATCATCCTTCATAGATTTCTTTATTCAATTTAATGATTATTAACTAGCTTTATACCTTTTTTTTCTTGGACGTTCATTGTACTTCTTATTCAAATTATTACCTTGTTCATACAATTAACTGATCATTATTCTTATCTTTATTTCAATATCTTAAACTATGTTAATTACGAAAACTTCTTTGATTGCTTCTTTCTTGTCCTTTTTCTATCACTAATTTTCTGCTTCTAACTACTTCATCCATCCTATCAAATATCCCCTCTCAACTTTTAATAGCTTCTGAGTATGTTTCATGATCTTTTATTTCAAAGAGTTCATTTCTTTAATACTTCCTAAATAATATTAATAATTCTTATTAACATCATTAATTGGATTGTTCTTGTTTATTAGCACCTCAATTTTATTTTAATTTTTTAACTAAAATAAGATATAAGTAATGTGATTAACTACACCCACACAATAAAGCAACTCTATCAAAAATATCAATAATCAAGAAAATCAAATAAACATAAATATATTTTTGAAAACATAAAAAGTAAATTAAATGTTAAACTCAATTCAATGGTACTTCTGGTACTTTAGAATAGTTATAAGAATTTGAAGAGAAAAACTTACGTCTTATTATTATCACAACAATTACTATAACCATTACTAATCCAGCACAAATAATACATCCAACAACTACCCAAAGGAGAATAGTCCATGAACTATTTTGTGATGGTTCATTGGCTGAACTTTCACTATCATGGCTTTTAGAAGAAGAAGAACTACTTTCACTATCATGACTCATAGAAGAAGAAGAACTACTTTCACTATCCTGATTCATAGAAGAAGAACTACTTTCACTTGTTGATCCACAAACATCAATAACACATTTCTTATTGTAAAAGTCAAAGAAATACCCATTGTCACAATAAGTGGCAACACATTCATCACTCCATTTTCCATCAACTCCACATTTATAACCACCATGAGCATGTTCAATTGTAATTTTTGAATCACAATCTTGACTTCTTTTAACTAATCTATCATTAGATGGATTACAATCAGTTTGGTATTTATTATAAAGAGATAAAGCTGCGCTGGCAAAAAGTTCTATTCTATTATTATAACTATCCAAGAATTGTAATTCATCAACTGGTTCAATAATAAACTCTCTTGGAATGGTTTGATTGTAACTATAATCATGAAGGTAAGTCTCAGCAAAACTAATTTGCATTGTAAGTGAAACACTATCCATATCACTGAGTTGTTGTTCTGTGAATATAGTTTCTGGTGAAACCACAACACTTGGTGATTGACCTACATCGTATAACTCTTTTTCTCCTTCTGGATCTCCTAAATATCCAACAAGAATTGCATTACCTCTTTCTTTCATTCCTTTAGCTAATAATGAACATGCCGAATAACAAAATGCATCAGTCATGACTATTATATCTGTTGGATTTCTAGGATTCTTCTTAAAATATAGATCAGTTACAGCTGATTGGATAATACCAGTTTGTGTTTTAACATGCTCAACATTTCCATATTTAACAGTTATTGATGATGCATAAAACTCTTCTCGAGTGGTTAAGTTAGAGTATATTAATTGACATGAGTTAACATCATTAAGTAGTTCATCATATCCAAGTGACAAACTACGTAAAGAAGGGTCACTAATTCGGATGTCTCCAATTTGATTGACATCAATAGAAGGTGCCAATGTTTTTTCAATGAAAGCCTCAAGATCAACATATCCACCACCATTCATAGGAAGAATTACACTAATTGGACCATTATTTTCATCAAAAGATTCAATACAATTCTTATAAACATCTACATATGATTGTAACTGATATTCTTGTGGAGCGAATGACTGAATAACAAGAACATTAACAGTAGTACTATTAATAGTAATAACTTTACAAGCAATATTGTCTTTAAGTTCATAATCATATAAAACATCTTTTTTTGAGTGTGTTAAACCTAAATCACTTGGTAAAATTGGTTGAACATTAAAAGCTCTATTTCTTCTTTTTTTATCAATTCTTTCTTTTACTTGACGTACTTTTAGAGCCTTATTAGTATCTTCTTGATTTTCTGGGCCAAAATTAATTATTTGATAAGAACAATTGACCTTAACTCCATTAGTATATTCAATTTCAAAAACATGATCTATTTCCTCTTTTGTTAATGGGTTATCACCTATCAGAAATAGCCCAATGGTTTGCCTTGTGTAAGTAAATCTAGCATGTGGACTTTTTAAACCAGAAAAAGTATTACTATAATTTCTAATCCAATCTAATACTGGAACACCATCAACAGAAGAAACTGGTACTTCTCTATTTTTTATAATTTCTGAAGGTAATTTTAAGTCGTACATTAAGATTTCAGTTAATGGAGAAAAGAGAACTTCATGAGTTTGTTTAATTGAAACAGTAAATGGCAAAACAATACCAATAAGATCAATCCAATAACAATAATCTTTAGATGATTCAAGTCCAAAATACATATGTAAATCATGTAAATCAAATAATAATTTATTAAGCTTTCTATAAAAAGGATAAAATGGTTGATCTACTTCTTCAATTTCTGACATTCTTTGATCAATATCAACAGTATAATGATAGGTTTCATATCCTTTTGGTTGAGGTGGATTTTTGAGAATATCATGATACACATATGCTTCAAATGCAATTTTTAATGATGTTTTTATTTTATGTGCACGATCTGCAGTAATATTGAGTGAATTTAAACAATCAAATAGTTCAGTTGAACTAGGTGTTAAACCAAATTTACAGGGAGTGGCAAAGCATGAAAGAATAAAGAGTAAAACAAGCCACTTCATTATTAATTAATATTTTTAGTTCAAACAATTTAGTTTTGGTGACCGAATAAAAGATAAGACTTTTTTCTATTGATATGGAATATTCTGAAAGTGAAGAGTATTGTTATTAAAATGATGCTATTCTTTTTTTATTATTTTAAGAAGAATAAAACCAAATTAAATATTAAAATCTCTTTTACAGATCATCGAATATGAACACAGGGGCATACTCTGTTGTGCCAGGTTCTTGCTCTGGTTCATTTCTTCTTATAGGAACAGGTATTATTGGAATATTTGCTTCTGGTGGTACTCCTTTAACAACTTCTTTTTCTTGACCATGACCAGTAGAAGGTAAAAATCCCATATTAACAGACATTCCTCCATAATCCATTTTTGTTTTCTGTTTCATTGGAACAGCTGATGCAAATTTGCTTCTACAGAAGCTCATTGCAGAAACATCATCATCATAGTCTCCTCTTGAATTAATTCTTAAAGAAGGAGACATATACATACCTCTTGGTGAATTAATAAATGAAGTAAATGGAGAATTGGTCATATTAGGTGTCTTTGGACCTGGTGTTTTAACCAAACAAGACCTTCTTGAAAAGCTTCCAGAATTAATAGGAGATGGACTTGTTTTTGATTTAATTGCATAAACTTCTCTAAACGAAGAAGGAGTCATTGGACCTAATTGGAATGGATTAGAAGATGAGATATTGACAACTTCACCTTTTTGTAATGAAGCTGTGAAGATGTCATAATATTCTTGTGTATTTAAACGATGACTTAATTTTAGTCCAGGGAAACACCTTTTTTGGAATTCAATTCCAGATATTAGTGATGGTTTAACTGGCTTAACTTTACGTGGTTTTGGTTGCCAATTTTTTGTGAATGGCGCTTGAGTTATAAAAGGATGATCTAGTGCTTGTTTAGCTGTCCATCTAGATTCTGGGTCATATTGTAACAATCCATGAATAAAATGAAGCATAGACTGACGAGTTTCAGAAACAGAACCTTTGTCTTCCAAAGGATTGTCTGACAATTTCATAGGAATTCTCATAATAAGTTCATCTAGAGTACGATATCTAAAATATCTTTTATCAGGTTCAAGTTCAACCGCATTTTCCATTTCATATTCAAATGGTTGTTTAAAAATATATTTAATTCGACCACCAACTGTTGGCATTTTATTATAAAAATTTTGTGTTGTAGTGCCTTGTTCTAATATATAGTCTGGAGGTTGTCCTAACATATCAGTAATTTTATATAATTCATTATATTCAGAACTGCCTGGGAATAATGGAATTCCTAGGATTAATTCAGCACAGATACATCCAGCACTCCAAACATCAATACCACATGAATATGGTAATCCTAAAATAACTTCTGGTGCTCTATAATGTCTCGACTGAATATAAGTATAGAGTGTATATGTAGAAAAACATGCTGAACCAAAATCTATCACTCTGACTTTCTTTGATGCTGGATCAATTAACATGTTTTCTGGTTTAACATCACAATGAACAATACTAGCATCTTCTAATACTGATAGACATTGAAGTAATGATTTCATATAATTTCTAATAATGTTAACAGGAAATCCTTTATAATTTCTTGCTTGAATTGCTTGATACAAATTTTTTCCTAATAACTCAGTGACAATACAAAGATGAGAATGATATAAAAAGTGATCAACCAATCTCACTGTATTTGATGAACCATCTTTATCATATGCATCATTTAACAATGACAACATAGCTACTTCTAACATTCCTTGTCTAAAATATGAAAATTTTGAACGTAAGACTTTAATAGCAACGTCTTTATTTTTCATAAGGTCTCGAGCTTTAAATACTTGTCCAAACATTCCTTGTCCAAGACGGTCAGTAATTTTATATCTTGAAACGGTGTCAGGATTAGCAGAATAATATGGTCCTTCAAAAGATGTAGCACTTCCAAGGATATCATTAAGTTTAACTATTAAATCATAATTCTCATTATCATAATTACTGTTATGACGAGGAATAGATGGAGCAGTTAAGTATAGTGGGGACATCCCTGTTGTAGGATCAGTAAGTCGAGGAGAACAATGATAAAAGACATCAAAAATTTTTGAAGTCAAATATTTTGTGATATATTTCTTATTTGGAGAATGTAGACCTTCTTCTTCGTTCGAGAAATATGGCGTGAAGGCACTACTTGATTTCTTAGAGAAAAAATTCATTTGAATTAAACAGTGAAAGGGTTTCTATTTTCCTAGTTTTTAAAAAGAAACTCTTTCTGGCATAAATCATATCTTCAACAGCAAGTTACGTCTTTTTGGATCCACATCACCGAAAATTTTTTCATATTTCGTTTATCAAAGAAAAAAAGATTATTCTGTCCTTTTTTGGAATCAAAAACAAAAGATAATTTCATTGTTCTCTTTACAATAAGTTTTTTCTTCTTTTACATAACGAAGTTGTTCACTTCCATTGAGTTGACATTTAAAAACCCCCTTGTTTTCTTTTTGATTATTACATTCTCCCTTAAAATAACAAACTGCTAGGGTTTGAGAACTTTAAAAGACATTAACACTAACATGGAAAAAATTAATCGGTCAGATGTTACTGATGGATTAAGAAGACAACTAAAAAATAGTGTTGGCAAGAAGAAACAGCAATTTATTTTACAACAAGAAGAAAAAGAAAATGAAAGTGATGACAATGAAGAAACAAAATCTCAACTCTTAATGAAAAAAAAGAAATATGTCAGTCCAATTGAGAAGTTTAGACCAAAAACGAAACAAGACAAACAAGAAAAGATAAATAAACACAAAGAAGCTAAAGTTGAAATAAAAGAAGATCCATCGAAAAAGAATCGATTTGATGATCAAGTAGATCCCTTAACAGATATTATAAATGAAAATATTACTCAACCAACTAACAATACAATACAAGAAAAAGATATAAATGAAAATAATGATTTAAAAGAAGAAGAAGTTATGAAAGAAAGTGATAATTCAGAAGAAGAATTAATTAAAGGAAAAAAAGAAATTGATAACTCCGAAAAAAAATATTCAAAGAAAACATCACTTCATTCAATAAATGATGAAATTACTTTATTTGAAGATGTTGAAGGAAATAAAAAGGAAACTAATACAAGAGATATTGGTGAAACATTTTCTCATACATCACAACAATCAAATAATCACTCAGAAAAACATAAAAATGAAAAAAAACCACGAAAAGATGGAGAAGAAAAGAAAAGAAAGAAAACAAAAACAAGAAGTCGAATGAAGAATGTAAAAAAAGATAAACGACCTGATCATTTGAAACCATCATATCTTCAAAATACTAATAATAAATGATTGATATTTTTTATTTTAGAATTAAAAGTATTTTTTTTTTATATTATATCGATTTGTTATTTATTAATATTTCATTAATAAAATAATTAATATTCAATTTTTTTTAAAAAATATGTAAGTGATAAAATATAATTAAGTATAAAGTATAAAATAATTTGTAAATAAAAAAAGAAATTAACAGCAATTTTAACAACGATATACTTCAATAAATTTTCAAAAAAAAAATAGAAATGAAGATTAATACATAAAATATACAATAATATTAATACATAATTAGAATCAATGGTGAGTCAATGGTTTAAGAATAGTTGTAATGAAGGATAATTTGGTATTACATTTTATAAATTTATTTATTAGAAACAGGGTATTTTATATTATTTTGATTTAATTTTAAATGTTCGAAGAGTAAATATCTATGGAAACAGAAAAAAAGAGAACTTAAAAACAAATTCTTCTTAAGGAATGTCTAAAATGGTTCATTCATTTCATATAGTTAATAAAATCCTTCGAGGTAGATGTTCAACACAAAATGGAATTAAAGAAATGGGTAATGAATTAGATGAAGAAGTTATTTATTTAGTAAAAGAATTAAATAATAATACAATAACAGAAGAATGGCAATTAATAGAAAATGAATTAGAAAATCCAACTGTATTAATTAAGACATATTTATTATCAAAAAAAAAAGAAATTATTTTACGGTCATATGCTATGATTCCTAAATATTATTTATTAATTAAAAATATATTAGAAAGAATTGAAAGAATTACTGAATTACTTCCAAGTGTTTTAGAAACAGAAGATTTTGATGAATTTTTTATTAATAATGTTATTATAATGGATCCAACAAAATTTTATGGTAGAATTACACACTCTTATAGATACAAAGAAATTTCATCACAGGAATGTGCTCATGTTTTTTCACATTTTCAACAACCACTTTGGAACCATCATTTATTTTATGCAAAAGACCAAAATAAAATGACTTCATTTATTATGCAATCAAAATTTCTAATTCAAGAAAATTCTAAAGGTTCTTTATTTCATTTAGTCAATTTACAAAGAAAATTCATCAATAATATCTTTGACCATATCAGTGGAGATCAAGAAGTTAAAGATATGATGTTTTTAGAAAGAAGGTTTAATAAAATGGTTTATAACCAAGATGTTTTTCCAGTAATTATTCATAGAAATGCTGTATTTAATGTTTTTGCAAATTATGATTTTACTGAAATTGTTATAAAAGGATCAAGTGAATATCATCAAAAATTTAGTGTTCTTTTAGAAGATTTAGAACACAAAGTTTATAGTAATATTATTTATCCTAATAGCATTTTATTAAAGAAAGGAAATTGTCAAAATTGTTTTCATAAAGAATCACCTTTTTTTAGTAAAGAATTAGTTTCAACTGATTTAATTATTGGTAAAACTATTTCTGAAGGTAATATTTTTTTTGGATGTCAAAGTGTTGGACAAGGAATTAGTTTATGTCAATATCATCATGTAAATCCTGTAAAATTTGCTGTTGTTCTTTCAGCAGAAAGAACAGAAATATTTAATGGAAAAGCAAAATCTATATTTTATTATCATTATTTTGTTCCTGAATTAAATCTTAATGATGTTAAAAGATTTAGTGGATGTATTCGTAATATTATTATTGCTAAACTCATTATGAGAATTGGTTTTGAACAAAATGTTAGTCTTAAAATTGATAGAACAAATTCAGGAGATTTTAACTTATCAAAAAATATGTTATTTTGTGCATTACAAATAAAAAGAACTATTGAAGATAGAAAACGCTTACAACAATTAGAAAGAAAAAAGAATATTACTAAAATTAATCATTGTTTCATTTGTCGTCTTGACAATCATAGTCTTCATTATTTAATTAAAATGGTATGTCTTGAAGATCTTATGAGTTTAAGATGTACATGTACTCGGTTTAAAAAGTTAATAGATGAAAGTACAGATATTTGGAAAAACTTTTATGATTTATACTATAATCCTCAAACTCAACCTAAAACATTTTTTACTTCAGAACATAATGACATTAAAAATTATTCATTACTTGTAAGAAAATGTTATAAAGTACGTCAAAATTGGAAAAATAAAAAATGGTCTAAAAGAAGTATACTCACTCCATTCTATGCTCCAATTAATTATATTAGAGTAAAAAATGATGATTGTATTGTTGTAGGAAGTGAAAATGGATATTTTTCTAGAATTGAAACAAAAAATAATGAATTTATTAAAGTTCGTGAAGGATTACCTATGAGCCTTCTTGCAGGGATGAGATGTAGTTTTGATTATTCAAATGATCTTTATGTTTATTTTAGATCAGGGGAGATAAGAAAATATACAAATAGTACTCTTAAGTTTACTAAATATGAATGTAATCCATATGAAAAAGTTAGTTTTGTAAATAATTCCATAGTTGTAGGATTAAATGATACAACATTATCTGTTGTTGATTTTATTTCACAAAAGACTCTTAATAAATTTGTTCCTCATTCTGTTGAAATAACACATTTTTGTTGTATTAATCCAAATATTGTTGTATCATCTTCTATTGATGGAACTATAGCTGGATTTGATTTACGTTCAAATAAATTTGCTTTTAGAACATTAAGTTATAGAGAAGAATTAACTTCTTTTGATTGGATTGATGATTTTATTATCAGTGGATCTTGTAAAGGAAGAATGAAAATGTGGGATTTGAGAACTAACATGTGTTGTTGTGAAAGAACTATACATTTTAATGCAATTAATTCAATGTTTTGTTTTAATAGGAAAGTAGTAAGTGGAGGAACAGATAAAGCAGTATATTGTTGTGATTTATCACGTGGATGGTTTGAAAATGTATTAATGATGTACATGCATCCAAGTACTGTAACATGTGTTTCATTAAATGATTGTACATTATCTACTGGTTCAGAAGATGGAGTATTGATATGTTCTCAATTTTGTTAATATAATTGATTTTTATTTAATAAAAAAAACACAAAACAAAGTAATTTTAATTAGTAATAAAGATAAATTATATTACTCTGACTCTTATTTTTGATTGATACAAGTTATAAATTCACTCTCTTTCATACAATGAATTGAACATAATAAATCCTTTCTACAATTACCTTCGCATTTTCTATTAATGGTAGAATAATGAGAATCAAATTTAATCCATAATTCATCATCTACTGCTAATTGTTCAATAAATTCTTTTAAATTTTTTGTTGTATATTCTTCAATACCAAATAATTCTTTAGCATTATATTCTATTTCCCATTCAAATTTATTATTTTTATTACATTTATTAATGTCAAGCATATAATTTGTATAATCTTTAATATTCTTTCTATCATATTCATATAATCTAAATCTTGGATTTAAATTCTTAAATGAAGTCATAGCTGGATTCATTATTATATGAAATGTTGGTTTTGTAATATTTGGTAATACTCTAAATGAATTAAAATGTGAATGACCTGAAAGATGACTAATAATAATATCAGAATATTCATTCATTGCATAACTAAAGTCTTCATTAAACTTTGGAACAACATCAATAGTTCCACTTTCTTTTAATCCAACTCCTTCATGACTTAATAAAATAACTCTTTCTCCATTCTTTCTAGCTAATTCTAGTGTCTTATTAAACCATTTCATCATTCCAGCTGGATCATTTTCAACATATTCATTACAATGACTACTATAAACATCAACATAAGCAAGATGAAGTACAATAATTCTTACTCCAGAATCAATTAATTCAGTATAAAACCCTCCTTTTTTAAATTGTTCTAGTGCATTTGGAGAAAGCCAATCTTTGAAAAGATCTCCCATAAAATCTAACATCCATTGATTTTGAGGAGGGTATTGCCAATTACTTGACAACCAATAATCATGATTTCCAGGTACTGGATATATTCTAAAACCTGGTAATCTTTTCTTTAACGCTTCAACTTGAAGTTGAATTCTTTTTTTATTTGTTTCTTTACTCTGAGTTATTACATCACCAGGAACAACGTCCATTAACCAAAATATTAATTTACTTTCTGATTGGTGTTTAGCAATGTAATCAAAAGCAGATTCTGAAACATTGAGAGGAGAATAGCAATTATAATCTCCACAAGGACCACTGATAAAATTTTCTTGTCCTTTTCTAGGAATAGAATTAGAATGACAACAATCAATAGCCAAACACTTTGAAGAACTACCAACAGTAAATTCATCATCAAAATGTGTATCAGTAATTAACCAGAATTTCTTATTTGCTAAAGTTAAAGTTATAAAAAGAAGAAGGAATAACATGATAACCATTAAGATAATAGTTCTATTTTTCTTGATAGAATCAAAATTAAAGTACTTTTCATTTCTTCAACTTTTCATTTTGAAAATTCTGAAAAAAAAATCGAAAACAAAAAAAGAACTTTGAATTTCAATATTTTTTTTGTATCAATGTTTTTGTTGTTCATTTCTTTTGTTTTTATTTGTTTTGGTCAAACTACATGCAACAATGCTATTGATATTAATTTCTCTCATTCTGAAATATTTCAACACACTGCTGATACTTCAAGAATACCTGATAGTTATTATATTTTAAAACAACATCTTTATTCACAAAAAGGAATTTGGTATAGGGTTTCATTATCAACTCCACAAACACTTATTATTGATACTTGTTTTACAGGACATACAGTTTTTGATACTAAAATTATGGTTTTTAGTCAATGTGAAAATAATTCAGGTTCAAAATTACTTGCAATAAATGATGATGGAATAAATGGATGTGGAAAAGCTTCAAGACTGATTTATTATTTTACAAAACCTTCTTATATTTTTATTACTGGAGCTACTCAATTAGATACTGGAATATTTGGATTGAGAATATCTCCACTTCCTAAACAAGAAAATACTAACCCTTTAATACCAGAAAAATTATCAATTCCAACGTCTATTGAAGGAATTACTTCAGGAATAAATTCTTCAGTTTTGTATTATACATTTGAAGGATTAGACTCTACTTCAATTAAAGTTTCAACTTGTCATCCTCTCACAAATACTCAAATAACGTTAATTCTTGATAAAAATACACCAAACCAACAACAAGTGGTTGATAATTGCCCTTCTCATTATTTTGGTGCTGAACTAACAGTTCCTATTGGAAAAACAGTTCATTCACTTCAAGTAAAAACAAATAATCCAGGTCATTTTATTCTTTCACTTAAACTACCATCAACTCAACAAACACCAATTGCAATAAGAGAACTACCTTTTTTACATTCAAGTAAACCATCAGGTGATATTTCTAAATCATGTGAAGGATATCCAGAACAGAGTGGAACATGGTATGCGATTATTGGAACAGGTGAAGATTATTTGATATCAACATGTGAGTCATCATTATTAAGAGAAGGAGTTGGTACAACAGTAGAAATATTTGATTCAAATGGGGAATGTAAACGTGATAGTTTTGGTTGTGGGATTCATGGTCGAATTATCAAAAAATTAGAATATAAGAAAGAGTATTTTATTAAAGTATCTTGTCAAGAAAATAACAAATGTAAGGCAACATTACTTGTTCAAAAAATACTTCAAAGTTCAGAAGAATGTAAACGTCCTGTTATACTTGAAATTGGAGAAGAGGGAATTGTTTCACATAGTAAAATTGGACATCTTTCACATCCATGTGAACCAATAAGTATTCATGGTAGTTGGTATTTATTAAACTCAAGAATTAATAAAGAATTTATGATCTTTGGAGGAGTTATTGATGGATTTAATGCTAGTGGTAATGTTATTTATACAAAGACATGTAGAGGACCATGTAAAGAAGAAAGTCGAGTATTGACAACAACATTTAAAAAAAATGGAGAATATCTTTTTGTTGTTAGTGCTTCATCAATTCTTGTTTCTGGAGTTTCATTATTTGTTGTTCCAATCAAACAAACTGATTGTTCTGATACTATTCAAATAACACCATTCTCAACTTTAGGAATTCTTCAAGATAAAAAACATTATTATTCATTTGAAGGAGATGGATCAATGTTTATTATTGAAACATGTGGTCCAGACACTCAAATAGATACAATTATTACTGTATATTCAAGTTGTAATTCATATAGACCATTAATAATGAATGATGACTCTGAAATATGTGGAAATACTGCTTCATTTATTCGAGAAAAGTTTATTGGTAAATTTATTGTTGTTGTTGATGTGTCACATAAGTCTGAACGAAGTATTGGACCATATCGATTAAATGTATATAAAGACATTGAATATCCAAATGATAATTGTTTAAGTCCAACAGAAATTACAGAAGGGACTCATTTTATTTATACCTATAATAACAGATATGTTTTAATACCTAATCGACCTGATATTCAATCAAAAGGAGCATTTCTTCTTTATAAAGGTAGAGATGCAGTTGTAACAACATGTAATTCTATGGTAACATCACGGATTGAAGTATTATCTGATTGTTCTACTGTTCTAAATAATAGGCATTTAAAAGGATATTGTAGAAATGGAGAAAAAGTAATTGTTCACACAAATGAAATTTTATTTATTGGAGGTAAAAATTCAATGGATATGGGATTAATTCAAATTGAAGTATTCGCATCAAGTAGGATTTCAATATATATTTTATTTGGAATAATATTGATTGTATCATTATTCTCTATATTTTATTATTTCTACACATTACTTAAAAATAAATTATTAATTCTCTTTGGAAATACAATGGAAAATAAAGGATATTATGAATTATAATTTTATTTACTTTATTTACTTAATACTTCTTTCTATTAACTGATTAACTTTTTTATTCTTTTTTCAAAGAACTTCTTTTTGAACGTCTGTTCTAATCTCATTAATATTTTTACTTTTTTTTATTTTACTTTAATTAAATGGAAATTATCAGGATATTTCAATAATTATTTATTTTTATTTTTTAGTTTTAAGGTTTCTTTTTTTCAAAGAATGGAGAAAGAGGAATAAGTAATACTAAAAAGATTAAATGGAATGTTCTTCTCATGATAAAAACAATCAAATGAGACTAATAATCTCTGTTCATAAAATTTTATTATGTCCGTAGGATATAGTTCACCTTTTGCTCAAAATGCACAAACAAATGTTAAGCCATCAACTGGTGGACCAGAAACAATGGCTATTAGATTAACCGTTGTTAGTGGTAAACAATTGAAGGCTATGGACATTCGTTCTTCTGATCCTTATGTCATTGTTTCAGTCGGTATTGAACAAAGAAAAACAAAGACTGTTATGAAAAACTTAAATCCAACTTGGGGAGACTCTTTTGAATTCTATAATGTTACACCTGGA